CCTGCAGAGTAAGATGATAACAGCACAAAAGTGGGCAGACACAGGGCCCTCCTGTCACCTCCCGCTCTGCCCTGCCGCCTGGAGCCACTGGTGCCACCCCTTGCAGAAGAACAAGCACCCTCAGCTTAGTCCACCTGTGCTGGGTACCAAGCACCACAGGCTGGTGGCTCAGAAACATGGTTTTATTTCACCCAGCTCCGGAGTCTGGAAGCTGAGACAGGACCCTCTCCAGAACAGATGGCCAATTCTCGTGGTAGAGGGGACTCTCGGGGTCCCTTTCACAAGGGCACTCATCCCATGTGCGAGGGTTTATCTCTACATGTCCCTCCAGAGCCTCATGTACTCACAGGTGTGGCTTTGGGAGCTGACTGGATCACAGACTGGATTAGTCCAGTGATTAGTTAGAGCGAAACGTGACGCTGGGAGGTGGAGCCTGTGGAGGAAGTGGTCACTGGGGGCATGACCTGGAAGGGTCTCCCTCCTCCTCCCTTGATCTCTCTCTGTTCCTGCCACCACGCCACGGACCATTTCTGCTCTTCCATGCCCCTCTGCCATGCTGTCCTGGCTTGGAGCCAACCGACTTATGGACTGAAACCTCTACAGACTGTGAGCCAGAATAAAGCCTCCCTCCTTTAATTAGCAGGTGTTGGGGATTGTACCTCAGTGATGAGAAAGTAACTAAGACACCATCATGACAGCCTCACTTCACGGCCCTATCTCTCCACGAGGCTCCATCTCCACGCTCCACCATCCTGGGTTTGGATTTCAGTATGAAGGTGGGGGCCGCACACACAGTCCAGGCCCAGGATCTGAACTCAAGTAAACTGAGGAGGTGTCTTTTTAAACGACCTCGGGGGACAAGCTGAGGGTCACTTACCAGCAGGACGCACAGCAGCAACTTCAGAAAGGGCCTCGTGCACCCGAGTTCAGGACTGAGGGACACAGAAACATCCTTTAATTCCAAGAAAGACAGGTAGGAATCTGAGAGTCCCTTGAAGGATGGTGGTGTCCCCATGTTCACACGTGGCGGGCTCCAAGAGATGCCCCGCTCAGAAGGTGACCGGACCGGCCTTTAGTGAACCCGGGAAGTTAGAGTGAGGCCTCCAGTGTGAACGAGGCCCGGCCTGGTGCGAAGAGGAAACTCAGACGCAGGACCCACGGGACGTGGCCCCAGGAGCGGCGACCGGGACAGCGGCCTTTCTTGTCACAACACTCTTGAGCCTAAGTCAAAAGTCCCCTCTGAGGACTGCGGACTCCGTCTCCGACTTCCGGCCCAGGTTTGACTCAGAAGCTAGGCGTGCCTGGGTCCGCGCTGTTGACGTCACTCCCACACTGGGGAGGGGACCTCGCCCGGGCCTGGGGAGTCTCTGCTCCTCAGTGTGCGTGCGGGGGGAGCTTGTGTCACTTTATTTTATTTTATTTTATTTTATAGTCAGATGCAAAAAAATAAACCGGTGTCAGCTCAGTGATTGAACGGCCCTTGCCGGTTGCCTGCAGCTGCGGTGAGCACGGTCAGCTATTTCTTATTTCCTGCCTGGCTTCTCCTCCCCTCGTCAAGGCCCCGGACTGCGGTCACCTGAGGACACGCTGCCCTGGGCTCCCGGTCCCTCTCCAGCTCCCGCCTGCAGGTGGCGCTGCTGCCAGGGCGCCGGACTCGGCCTCTGTCTGGGCTCGGCGACCCCCGGCCCCTCGGCCCCAGGTACCGTCCTCCCAACGGTGCAGTCGGACCCTGCCCCGGAGGAGAAACCGCCAGCCTCCCCACGGCCCTGAGGGGCAGAGAAGGTGGAACCAGCTCACCGCTCCTGGGGGCCCTGATGAACAAACGCAACAGCAAAATTAAAAAGCTCTTCTAATCTTGCCGGGAGCGGTGGCATCCTCTTTAATCCCAGCACTCTGGGAGGCTGAGGCAGGAGGGTCACAAATTGGAGCCCAGCCTGGGCAATTTAGCAACTTAGTGAGACCGTGTCTCAAAATTTGAAAGAGAGAGAGAGAGCACGAGAGAGCGAAAATCTCCCCCAGTCCCCAGTCCCAAAAACAAAGTGTTTGGTGTGCTGAGTGCTTTGACCTGAACGTACACCACAGTCTCTAACCTCCTCCTGCCCTGCTGTCTTGGTCCCCGTTACCCCTTTGCGCCGGGTCATGGAGTGTCTCTTCCCCAAAGCCAGCCACAAAGCTGCCGTCCGCTCCAGCTTCAGCCTTTCTGGCCACAAGGACATTCCAGGCCCACCATGGTGTCTGGGTGGCCGGGGACCCTCCTTCCAGGATGGCTCTGTCCCCAGCAGGAGGAGAAATCACCCCAGAGACCGAGCAGAGTGAGCACTCTTGGCTCCTGCCACCCTCCTGCAGATCTAGGCAGGAGAAGGCCACTTCCTGGGGGCTTTGTGCTTCTGCAGGCTCCCATGGCAAACTTTGATGGCATAAATATAGTTTTGTTTGTTCATTTGTTTTCTGAGACAGGGTCTTGTTATGTAGCCCAGACTGACCTTGAATCCATGGTGACCCTCCTGCCTCAGCCTCCTGAGCACCAGAATCACAGTTGTGTACTACCACGCCTGGCTTAATGAAATACCATAAACCTGCTAGGCTCTTGTCTTTTTCCTTGACTTTGGTAATAGTGTCAGCTGTGACCCTGGTGAACACACAAGGAGCAAGCCAGGCAGAATGCGGGCTCCTCAGTCCATCCCTGGGCACCCCACCACCGGGCTGCCCCAGTCTTCATGGCTGCATTTATCTCCCTCCCATCCAAATCCCAACCAGGCAGAGAAGTAACCCCAAATGTCCTGAGAAGCATTGTGGAACTCCATGTGTCGTCATAGAGAGAGCTTCCAGGGCCAAGAGTGGTGGTGCACACCGGCTATCCCAGTGCTTGGGAGGCTGAGGCAGGAGGATTGCTGAGAGCTCAAGGCCAGCACAGAGTACATAGTGAAACCCTGAGAGACAGAGAGAGAGAGAGAGAGAGAGAGAGAGAGGAACTCCACTACCAGACAGACTATGGGAGGCCGTAGTTGTGGACTAGGCCAGCTCTGGTCCATTCACAGGAGACCAGGCCACAGCAGCCCTGCCACGTTCCCCAGTGGCACCTAGGCAGGCAGGCCAGTTTCCCACTGGGCCCAAGCCATGAGGCCCCCACAGGATGGCATGTCCTTTCTGCTCGCCTCACCCCGGACTTGGTGGCGCTGCCCCATGTGGCAGTGTGATGCAGCCAGCCCTCACTCCAGCCAGCTGAGGCAGGAAGGTCCTCTCCTGAGGGCTGGCTTGGTTCTCCACTCAGGGGGGACAGGGAAGCCAGGTCCGTGCTCTGTCCTGGTCTGTCCTCGCTCACCCCACAGGAAGTGAGCTGGGGAGCACCTCAGTGCTCTACTGTCCCCCACAGTATTAAACTGAATTCTTAGCACAGCTGAAGCATGTATTTTGTTTTCTTTTGTGTTTTTGAGACAGGGTCTCGGTGTGTAGCTCAGGCTGGCCTTGAACTCACAGCAATCCTCCTGCCTCAGCCTCCAGAGTGCTAGGACAGCAGGCGTGCACCACCACACCCAGCAAAGGGGAGCCTTTGAATGAGCAAGGTGGCCATCAGAGGGCCTTGAACGGTGCCCTGGTTCATCCCGAGGGAGGAGGGGCACAGTCCTTGCCCTCCATGAGCTCCAGTCCGCCGACCCTGGAGTGAAGTCGGGGCGGAAGCTTGGGCCAGGCTCTGCTCTGAGTGGGTCACAGCCTTCTGAGTGATTTCACCTCTCCAGTTATTTCACAGATGTTACTGGGCACCTGTGACGTGCCAGGAAAAAGTCTACTACTGACTTAGAAAAATAAAAAGGGGCAGCCCACTAATAATAGCCCCACTTTTATTTTTGGGGGTACTGGGGATCGAACTCAGGACCTTGCGCTTGTGAGGCAGGTGCGGTGCCACTGAGCTAAATCCCCAGGCCTGGAAGAATAAGTATTCGTAGGCTGTGTCAAGTGCAGGCTGGATATAAGCAGGGTGATTCGATGGACGTAATGGGTCAGAGGAGAACGAGGTCTAATAGAATTCCCTTTAGCAAGGAGGTCGGAGGAGGCTTAGGTGAAATAGAGCCTGGAGTGTCAGCCCTGAGGAGGAGAGAACGACCTTCATGGCATGTGGCCACACATGCAAAGGCCCTGGGGCAGGAGCAAGATCCCAGTGAAGGTCTAAGAGCTGATACAAGGCCTGTGTCTACAGCAGAGAGAGCAGCTCAGAGTGGCGGAGGCCACAGCTGCAGAACTTCCCAAGCTTTGGGCTGGGTGCTTCTGGTTTTGGTCTGCACAGGAAGGGGGGCAGTGAAGGATTCTGGGTGCTGTGGTCCTTGGGTTCTGTGCTTGCTCTTCCCTGAGGACCCAGAGACCTCACAATGCTGTGCGGCAGCCTCAGGAGGTGGGCAGGACATGGCCCCAGCCTGGCTCCCTGTGGTCCCAGCCATGCCCTGGTGGCCGTGGACTTCTCCGGTCACTCACAACCTGGACGGGGACCAGAGCCCCCAGCCACCTCCATCCCTGTCCCCAGGATTCCCAGTCAGATAGGGAAGAGCTGCCGATGGCCTCCCTCCCCAGCACCACCCGTGGGGCCGAATCACTGCACAGAGGCAGCCTCCACCCGGAGCCAGGAGACCGGTAGCAGCTTTGCTGGGATTGTTATCAAATTTGTTCCTCGCGCTGACCCTGGGAAGTAAGTGCTGCTTTGAGCCCAGGAGCCGCCTGAAGAATGGAGAGGTGCAGATCCAAGAGGCTTCGCAAGTTGCTGCAGGGCTTGGAGCCAGGGCCAGGGCAGCAGCCAGCCTGTCCCTCCAGCACGCAGCGGGGTGCAGCAGTGACCATGTTCCCAGCTCCGTGACCCAACCAGGAAGGTCACCCTAACCCCCCCGGCGGCTGGGCACCTTCTGGTAAGGAGGCTGCTGTCAGCCGTGGGCAGTTCACACTGTGCCTGCTGTAATATTCACGCGACAGGAATACCATGTCCCCATGTGATGCACAAAATCCTTTGCAACGATAATATGGTCATTTATTGTACACAGTAAGTGGGTCACCGAGCGTGAGGGTGATAGCTGGGTACTCCACAGCGTGTGGCATCTCTCAGCTGCGATGCTGGTGATGTTTGCCAGGTCAGCCATGTTAAATGCACTCCCAACTTGGTATATTTTCAGCCTACAATGGGTTTATACGGAGGTAGCCCTACTGTAGACACAGAGAATCTGTCATCGTCTTTCTGATTAAATACAGAAATGTTGTTGGTCAAAGGGAACAGATTCTCAAGCCGGATGCAGTGGCGCATCCCTGTAAGTCAGCACTCTGTGAGGCTGAGGCAGGAGGATCCCAAGCTTGCGCGCAACCTGGGCAGCTTAGCAACTTAGCAGTAGACAGCATGACGGCTGTGTCCCTGGAGGAAAGGCCTGAGCCAATGAGCCGAGGGGGACACAGGGTCTGTCCCGGAAGTGCTCACGTGCCTGTGAGCCACGGCTGTGCGCATGCGCTGGTTTCCCAGCCAGCAGACGGCTGCATCAGACTCCACATCACAGGCCTCGGTGCCTCGGGTTCCAAACCTTTAATCCACTCAGATCACAGTCCGCCCGGCACTTCTCAGCCCTGAGCTGCAGACAGCCCGAGTCTCCCCTCCAGCAAATCAGTCCAGATCCGGACCATAAAGGCCCCCAGCTCCCTCCGAGACCCCCACCCGCACCCCAGTCTCCCTCAGACCCCTGCCAGCTGCCCAGGGAGTGCTCGGGGAGAAAGCTCCCCAAGCAACCCAGATTCAGCCACGAGAAGAGGATGTACTGTACGGGCAGAGGAAGGGGCAGAGGAGGTCTGGGGCCCGTCAGAGAGCTCTTTCCCCAGGAGAGGGTGCGCGCCCCTAGGACACCTGGCCCTGTGGCCCTAGGCCGCCGTGTGGGCCCGCTTGGGGCAGAGGGAGCCCCAGGGCCGGGCCGGCAGGCTGAGCAGCAGGAAGCAGCCGCCCCCCAGCAGCAGGATGAGGCCGGCAGCCACGCCACAGCCCAGGGACCAGGAGAACTCGAAGGCCAGGCGCAGGCCCAGGCGGGGCTCGGGGAGGTCCGCGTCCCGGTCCCGGAGCAGGGCCCACACGGAATGCCGGAATACTTCCACGCTCACCAGGAGCAGCAGGCCTGCGGGAGAGGACAGGGGCTCAGGTCTCCCCCGGCGCCAGGGCTCCCCGCCCTTCTGCTCAAGCAACAGTCACCAGGGTCAGAGTGCTGGAAACAAAGGGAACAAAACTGCTTCTTCCCCACAGTCACAGGTTCTGCCCAAGCTGCGCAAGGTGACTGGTTAGGGGGCTCTGCCACTGGCCCAGGGTCAGGGGGCGGGGTCTAGTGGGAGGCCAGGTCACGGGGCACGGCCTGGAGGGATCTGCCCGGCCCCCACCTGACCCTCTTCTCTGCTTTGGCCTCCAGGACTCAATCACACCAGGATCACCACCACCATCATCAACACCTGTTGCCACAACAAATATCATCCCGTACCTGGGTAACTCCTATGAGACCTCGATTATCGGCTTAAATGCCACTTTCCTGGGGAGGTCCTCCAACAGGCACCAGCACTGCCACAGAGCGCACCCTGAATATGCTTTTCATGACTCTTATAGCAATTGTAGTCGAACCATTACATATGTGCCTGTTAGCCCTTCTCTGACAGAATTGAGGCTCCTTGACAGCAGACACAGCACCTGTCTTATTCAGTCTTGGGTCTCCAGCCTTGACATGGCCTGGACTATACAGGTGCTCATAAACATACGAAGGATAAAGAAATGAAGCTCGTATAATTCATGATTTTTCTTTCCACCTCAGAAAGCATTTGATTCAGCAAAGAACATAAGGCCCAGAAGGAAGAAGAAACTGTCCTGAGGTCACACATGATCCAGGGCATAGCTTAGGGTGAAAGCTTGACCCCGGGTCTTCAGCTAAACATTGATCCCACACATGGGGCTCTGAGCCTACATGGACTCCACAAGAGCATGGTTCCCCAACTGCAGTGCTCACTGCAGTCAAAAGAAGTCAGGACCGAGGAAACCCGGCTCCAAGTCCCACCTCTGTCATCACTGGTGGTGTGACTGAGTAAGTTGTCTGACTTTCTGAGCATCAGCATTCTTCTCTACAAAAGGAGGAGAGGCGGTCTCAACCTCAGACCTGCTGTAATGGTCAGCGCCGGAGGTGCAGTCAGCTGCGGGGTTTGTTATGCTAAGGCCTGGGTTTCACACAAGGTGCAGCATTCTATCCGGACCTTCAGTTCCAAGGACGAAAGAGCCCTAGCAGCTCCCAAGTCTGGATCACAAAGACTATTTGGAGACACCCTAGTTCCTAGCCAACAGCAGACCCCACTTCCAAGTGTACAATAGTGTCCAATCCAGGTCCAATCCAAAAGTGGAGAGCATCCAATTCCCAGCCAAAAACCGGGCTTAGAATGCTCTCAGTTTTGAAATTTCTATAGGTCTTGAGCTCTCTCCAACCCCTGGAATTCAGCAGTGCTTGGAGATCTCTTTCTCCATCATGCAACAATCCTTGGAGATCCCAGATCCCAAACTAAAACAGTATTTGGAGACCCTGCAATCCATAGCCAACAGCAGGGCTTGGAATTCTCTCATCTTTGAGCTTACTATAGTTCTTTCTTGGCTTCTCTCCAACTTCTGAATCGTAGCAGTGCTTGAGATCTTACCTCCCAGCATGCAACAGTATGTAGACATCCCATCTCCCAACATGCAGCGGTGCTTGGAGAAGCCATCTCCCAGCATGCAACAGTGTGTAGAGATCCCACCTCCCAACATGTAGCGGTGCTTGGAGAAGCCATCTCCCAGCATGCAACAATTCTTGGAGATATCAACTCCCAGCATGCAGTATCTTCAGTCTCCAGGTTCTTAACTCTCACCTGAGAGGCCAAAGCAGACAGCTCCCACTCGGAGCAGGAACTCTGCACCTTTACTGAGCACCATGATGATACAGAGGCAGCCCAAGGCCATGACCACAAGGCCCAGCACTGCTATCACTGCAGCTGCTAGGTTCACCTCTGTGAGGAGAGAGAGGGAAGAAGCAGAGAACACAGGGTATAAACAATGGAGAGGACACCTCCGCAGGGACATCAGCTTGACTGGGTTAAGCACACTGTGGGCGTGCCTGTGAGGGTGTCCCCACAGATGGCAGGCACGTGGGCCTGAAGTAGGAGGAGACCCACCCTGTGCGTGGCAGGCACGGACAATAAGCAGCAGGCACCAACGGAATGAAAGCAGAATATTTTTCCATTCCCACACCCATCCTGTCTGTCTGTCTGTCTGTCCACACCCCATTCTGCCTCTTTATGTGAGTGGAGTCACTATACGTCCCCACCATGAGCCCAAAAGTAGCAGAGTCATGAGCATGGACTGAGATTCAAAAACCTTGAGCCTAAACCGACCTTCCCTCCTCTAGCTGTTTCTGTTGGTGCTTGGTCACAGTGACAGAAAGCTGACTAATTCACAGTCCAAGTCTTACTTGCACTGTTGGAGGAACTAAGACTCAGAAAGGGTCCATTTTTTGCCAAAGCCACAGGGCAGAGGACAGAGCCGGGATTAGAAGGCGACAGGGAGTCACCAAGTGTTACTTGTCACCTGGTCACCTTTTGTCTACAAGGTGAGGAAACTGAGGCAGCAGCGTGTGGTGGGCAGTGGCAAAAGGAGTGTGTGCTGGTGGGATGACCCAGGTGGGAACCCTCTTCAGCTGCTTGCTCGCTGGCGACTCCAGAGAAGTGCACTGAGCCCCTCTGCGTTAGCTTCCTCCCTGGAAAGCCAGGGTCAGAGCCTGCAGCTACTGGGTCATTGTGAGGATGCGGGGTACCTCCGAGGTGCCAGGGGGGTGGTGCCAATGAGTGCCCCGGGGTCTCCTCATCTCAGACTCAGTGACCCAACTGAGCTCCCACAGCACACAGGGAGAGGAGTGGATGACTTGCTGTTTCAGCTGCATCCTCTCAGTGAACTCGTACACCCGGCAGCTAAGATCCCCCTACTGGTGGGGACACTGTGGCACAGGGCTGGCAGAAAAGCTGTGCTTAGAGTAGAAAGGGAAAGGTCTTCAGAGATGCCTTGCTATTTAAATATGGCCTTTAAATTTTTAAATTCAAGCCAGGCATGGTAGTGCACACCTGTCATCCTGGCACTCAGTAGGCTGAGGCAGGAGGATTGCTACAAGTTCAACGACCGCCCTGAACTACATAGCAAGACCCTGTCTCAAAAAACCCCCCAATAAATAAATAAACTAATTAATTTTAAATTAACTTAAATTCCACAAAAAAGCTTTAAAAGTCGTTTCCCCGTCACCCCAGCCACACGCCCGTGCCCTGGGTTCGCACAGCTCCTCTCCCACAGGAGACTCCGGGGCGACGGCGTGGGAGTCAGCCTGGGGACCGAGGCCGCCCGCCGCCTCCCTGCCTCCCGGAAAAAGCGTCCCAGCCCTCTCTGGGCCACGGTGGGGGCGGGGGTGGCGCTGTCCCCGGGCTCTGCTGAGCTCGGGGGAAGAGCACGTCCGAGAGACACGAAGCGCTGCCCAGAGAGGGGCTGTCTCTCGCCCCGGCCACACAGCAGGTCCCGCAGGCAGAGCTGGGGGCACAGCGCCAGGCACGGGCGCAGGGGACCAAACCCTCACGGCCGGACAGCCGCGGCCTGCAGACCCGAGCCCGCCACGGAGAGGCGCTGTGGCGTGGCCGGCCTGTCCCGCCCTCCCGCCACCTCGAAAGTCCTCACCTTTCCTTGTGGTTCTCTGGAAGATGCGCGCGTTCTCCCCGGTGGTGAAGAATTTAAAGTAGGTGCAGTTGGCTTCTGTGGGGAGCAGAAAGGGGTGGCGGGTTCCGCTGTGCACTCGGGCCGACTCCCCAGAGCTCACGGGCGCCCCGAGGGACAGCCGAGGGCACAGGGCGCGGAGCTGCTCCCCGCCTGCTGCCGCGCGTGGCGGAGCCAGAGCTCCGAGGTCCAGAGCCAGGAAGCTCTGTGGGTCCCTGATTTTCCGTCTTTAAAATGAGATGATAATGTCTTTCTCCTGGCTCCTCGGCGTTCATCTGCCGAGGGTCAAGTGGGATTAGAAATGGATCATCGCCTTACTCAACGAAGACGCAGGCCCCGGAAGGCAAAAGGCTCAGAAAAGTCTCCGTCTCCATTGGGAGCAAGCGCGCAAACAGCTCCTGCGGATTAGCAGGGGACAGAGGCGCCCAGCTGGACAGCAAAGGGCGTGCGGTCGCCTCATGAGAGGAAGCCGGTCCTCACAAGTGTGCAGAAGGAGGCTACGCTGCTCTGCGGGAATTGGAGAGGGAGCTCAAGTCTGAGGGCAGGAGCCCCGCGGGAATTAGACGGCAAAATGGAGAGGGCAAGATCAAGCGGCGGGAGAGCAGCTGGGTGGAACCCGCACTCAGCGCTCCACGAAGGGCTGGCCGGACACGGTTTGTGAATGAAATGCAGGTGCCCGCTGCCTCGAGATGGGTCGGGGCAGTACAGGCCTCGCGTCTGAGGAAGGTGGCCGGCTGCATCAGGACCCCGCGACGTTCTCACTGGGGTGGAATCGCCTGACTCGAGTCTCGCAGCTCCGGATCCCATCACTAAGTGACAGGACGGGACAGCACGGACTCCACAATGTCACTTCTGGGTGTACGGCCCCCCAAAAGCCACCCAGGAGCACAGAGCATAGGAGCACTCAGCACTGCTTATAAATAACATGGACTGGGACTGGGGATTAAGCTCAGTGGTTCTGCTGCCTGCCTCTCAAGCACAAGGACCAGAGTTCGAACCCCAGTACCAAAAAAACCCAAAAAACAAAAAACAAGGAATAGGGAGCCTGGCATGGTGGTGCACACCTATAATCCCAGCACTCAGGAGGCTGAGCCAGGAGGATTGCTGTGAGTTCAAGGCCAGCCTGGGCTACATAGTGAGTTCAAGGCCAGACTAGACTACATAGTGAGGCCCGTCTCAAAAAACAAACAAACATGTAAATAAATAAATAAATAACAAAGAGTAGGAATCAACCCCGGTGTCCACCTGTTCAGGACGAGACAGGTAAACGATGGTGGCCCCTGAGGAACTCTCTACAGACCTACAGAATAGCACAAAGCAAAACAGGGAGATCTGAGAAAGAGTGTGGAGCAGGAGAAATTAAGCTCAAAACTAAAAACAGAAACAAAATCTAGAGCATTCATCTCACATGTGCAAATTCAAACATGCAGACCTGTATAGTCACATAACTAACACTATACATGTGTGTCAAACACACGAAAGAGTGCAGTCAGGAGTCAGGCGTGGTGATGCCTGTAATCTCAATGCTCAGGAGGCTGAGGCAGGAGGATTGCTGTGAGTTTGAGGCCAGCCTGGACTACATAGTGAGACCTTGTCTCAAAAAGCAAGAAACAAGGGCCGGGGATTTAGCTCAGTGGTTCCACCGCCTGCCTCACTAGCCCAAGGTCCCGAGTTTGACCCCCGGTACCAAAAAAACACAAAACAAAAAACAAGAGAGATAATGATTTTTGTGACATAAATGTAGGAGTAACGATGCATTAAATTTCTTCTTCTTTTTTTTTTTTTTTTGCTACCGGGGATCGAACTCTGGTCCTTGCGCTTGTGTAGCAGGCAGCGAAACCACTGAGCTAAATCCCCGGCCCAATGCATTAAATTTCATGTACATTCAATGCAAGCAACCCTCTACTTTAAAAGGGGCAGCTTTCTTTCTTTCTTTTTTTTTTTAAAAGAAGGCAAAATTTGCTTTTTTTTTTTTTGGTACTGGGGATCGAACTCAGGACCTTGTGCTTGCGAGGCAGGTGCGGGAACCACTGAGCTAAATCCCTGGGCCTAAAAGGGCCAGCTTTCTAAACTGCACCCTAAAGCCAGAACTTCCCTGAGGATTCACCCGGTCTGGCCCACTCTCCTGTTCCACAGATGGGGAGGCTGAGGCCCGGAGGGGAGAAAGGAGAGGGAGGCAGAGCGTGCGGCTCTGTGTGCCGTCAGTGGGAAGCGGTCCTCACAGCGCGGGAGTGGGTGTCCCACTCTGGCCACTGGGACTTAGGGACCTCGTGTCTTTGGCCCCTAGAGGAGACGGTGCAGCCCACTGGGAGGGCCAGCGTGAGTCAGCCCTGCAGCGAGGGGAAATCAGAGCCGAGCCGCGTGATCTTGACGCGTGGGCTGTTTCTGAGATCATGCGCCCGCTGGGAGGTGCAGCATGTGGGGCAGGGTTACAGGGCGAGAGAGCCAGCCCTGTCCTTTCTGGCCAGTAGGGGGACCGCAGGGTTGTGAGGGACCCCACGGCCCGCAGGGAGGCAGGAGGGGGGTCTGATGTCTCTCAGTGAGGAGATCAGGAGCTGACTCCCAGGACTCCAGTGATGAGCCTGGCTGGGGGCGCAGACCGAGCCCCTGGGGTCCCCTGCTGCCCACTCTCCTGGAGAATGGGGGGTTAGCTACTCACAGGGCTGCCCTGACAAGCTTGGAACAGAGCCTGGCTCTACGTGAGCCTCTCACTGTGCCAGAGCTTGGGCTCACCCCGCCTGAGACCCGGGACGGGGCAGGCGGGAGAGGAGGGTTGAAGATAGCGGATGTGGCCAAACCTGGAGCTCACACGTGGGGGCCTGCACCCTGCGCCCTACTTTGCTCTCAGGGACTGGGGACATCCTGCTTTGGACCCTAGGGTTGCAAAAACCACGCTGGAAAAGCAGGGTGGGGAAGTGGCCAGGGTGGCAGGTGCCCTGTGAGGAGCACAGAGGTTACAGAGCCTCAGCACGCAGAGCCATCAGAAGCCCCAGATGGGCTCCGAGGGGCAATCTGTTTGTCCCTGGGGTCAACAGGGATGCAGCACTGCTGTCCGGCCCCCATGGGGTACAGCATCCCACTGGTGTGAGCTGAGGGCATGGCCTGGGCTCTCTCAGAGCGAGGAGTATGGCTTAGCTGGGGGCACAAAACACAGCCTCAGACAGCAAGGTTCAAAGTCCAGTCTGGGCATTTAGAGGGGGACGGACAGGAAATGAAGAGCGTGCCCCCGAGTTCCTGGCTGGGGCACAGGGGGGGAAGCGGTGCGATTCTGTTCTGGGTGGGTGTGGGGCTGGGCTGTAGGTAGGCCCCAGGGTGAGTGCCCTTTGGGGGTGCAGGCTGTTGGGGGTGGGCATGGGCTGTGCTGGAGCTGAGTTCCAGGGACCCAGGTGGATCCGAGGGCTGACCCGGGCAGGGTCCCCTCAGGGGCCAGGGCTGGGGGGGGCCCTGGCTCACTCGGGCAGGTTTGCAGTCAGCCCTGGGCTGGGGCGGCCTCTCACCTCCAGGCAGCTCGGCGGGGCCACAGGTGTCCCTGTCCACAGGCACGTCCGCCTGCCACAGCCGCTTGGTGCACACCTTCCACAGCCCCAGGTGGGCAGCCTCGCAGACGGCGCTGCCGTTGGCCTTGTAGGTGTTGAGCTCCACCCAGAACTCGGTGCCCACCGACAGCACAGACAGCGTGGCGCCCACAGCGGCCAGCAGCAGCGCCAGCTTGGTCTTGGCTTCCTGCTCGGGCGTCAGGCCTCTCTTTAGCTGGCCCTGCGCGTGCCTCCGGCCCCGGGCCGCCCGCCGCCGGTCCTCCTCTTGCATGAAGAAGTTGGACCACATCATCGTCAGCCCAGCCAGTGGGGCTCGGGCTCCAGGAGCGGGGCCCGGGGGGCAGGGCCCTGAGGGGACGGGCAGCTCGGGCACTGGGTTACCAAAGACGAGGTCTGAACTCCTTCGGGTGGGGAAGTGTCGGTCACCTTGGGCCCGGAAGGGACCAAACTAGATTCCCAGGCTGGGAAGCCGCAGAGCTGGAAGGCGCCCCTGGGTACCCGCAAGACCCCCAGAGGGGAGCCAGGTCCCCTGAGGCGCCTGCCAGGACCAGGGCTGAGGTCTCCCGTGTGTCTGAGAGACGCCACCTGGGTTCCCTTGGGCTCAAAGTTTGAGGATGAAGGACTTGGGCCTCTGGGGTGCAGAAGGGGAAGAACCAGGGTGCGCAGGAGAGGCTCACAGCAGATCCACAGAGCACAGCTAGGGTCCAGGGAAGCAGGAACGGGGCGGGGGGGGGCCCTACCATTCGGAGGACGGTGCTGCAGAGAAGGCTGGGGTCCGCCCGTGGGGCAGGGAGGGGAACCTGGGGTCCCTACTGAGCTGCGCTCAGTGCTATGGATCAGGAGGCTCGGCAAGGCGTCCTGGGGCGCCTAGGAACCGCTGGGGCCCCCGCAGGATCGCGCTGCCCTCCCCCAGGCTCCCAGGGCCCGCCGGGCCGTGCCAGCTCCGTGCTCCGCTCAAGGCCTCCCACGCGCGTCCGCGGGCCGAGCTCCGCGCTCGTCCTCGGCGTCTCCGGCTCCGCGGCCCGGACCTCAGGCTGCACAAGGGCCACGCTCGCCCCGCCACCCCCCCGGCAGGGCTATTTCGGGCGCGACCCGTAAATAACACCGCACCTGTCGCCCGAGCCTGTTGCCATAGGGACCCTGGATATTTTAAGGGGAGGTGAGGGAGTGGGTGAGGCCGGTGGGGAGGAGGGTTGGGGGGCTCTCAAAGGGGCTGAGGCAGGAGACGCCCAGGTCCCGGAGGGCCAAGGACGGGCTGAAAGTCCAGACTCCAGAATCAGTGAGGTGGCAGAGCTCGAGCAGGACCGAGCCTGGGTTCCTGCCCGGGGACAGGGCTGGGGAGCTGGGCCGCAGGGGAGGGGTGGGGCCGGGACCTGCACCCGAGCTGGAGCCTGGAGGCCGGGCCGGACCCTGGAAGAGGTCTGTGGCCCTCGACTCCTGGGCCTGAGAGGAGCACGCTGGAGCCAGAACCCCCTGGATCTGCACGGTGGATGGATGGGTCCCCGGGAGGTGGGAAGGCCAGGCCTTGGGAGGGTCTAGGGTTAACTGAGACTCTGAGCCAGAGCAGCAGTCCTCTTCGTCGAGTTTATTAGACCCCTGGGGGACCTTCCATGCAGTTTCAGCTCCCTCAGGGGCAGGGACAGCCTTGTGACATGGCAGCAGGGCCTGCTCCTCTCCCCTCCCTTAGCCTCTGTGCGCACTGCCCGGATGGGACCACCTCTCACCAACTCCTTCTCTGCCCCATGGCCGCTCCAGGTGGGCTGGTGCCCGACCTGCCCGGGACGCTGGAGCCCTGGTGCCCTTGCAGCATGTGTGTCCCCTGGGATGCGATTGTCTGCTCTCTGCCCAGCTGTCCCAGCGGACATGAGTGGGGGCCAGGGGCAGCCTCAACATGACCCAGCTCAAGGCGAGGTACACAGGCAGCCTTGGAGGATGCACATGAGGTGAGATATGCTCGTGAATGAATGAGTGGATGGGCAGATGAATGGTCAGGTGCAGAGATACACAGGGCTCCCGTCAGGGAGGCGCCTGCCCGCCCCAGAGGCCCCCTCCCTGCCTGTTCCTCTCATCTGTGCTATGTCCCCCAAAGGCAGGGACAGGGTGGTGCACACGCTCAGATTACAGGGCCTGGTACTTGCGAGTCCTCCCCGTGTCCTCCAGGGTCTTCCCTGGCTCCAGCGGGGAGTCCCGGGCAGCCTGGTGAGGGCAGCAGCAAGCCCCGGGGGCTGGCCCTCCAGGGTCTCTTCTCCCTGCCCCAGATTTGTGTCTCTCAATCCGCCTGTGCAGTAGCTCGAGGAGTCCAGGGTGACATTCCCTGTCTTCATCTCCCTGTCTGCACTTTACCCTGCACTTTCCTGGGTCATTTTCACACCAAATTAATCATGATAATTACCCAGATCCCCTTCCTGTCTTCTCCCCCGCTTTCTCCCACTCTGCTGTAGTACAGCTTCTACCCCAGCCCCGAACCAACATGGCCTGTCCTTGCGATCAGTGCCCCACGGGTGCTGTGCTTCGCCTCTCCCTCCGGCCCTCAGCCTCCCCTCCTGGGGTGCTCCTGCTTTCTGCCTACCTCCTGGTCGCCCCCTCCTGGCTCCTTTTGCTCTGTCTTCTGCTCCTCCCTTTTAGATGTCCTCAGGGCTTCAGCCAGTCACTTCTCTGTCCACATTCTGTCACTTTGTCCCTGATGTTTCCCTAACTTACATTTGCAGCCATGACCTCACCACTCCCATGGTCTCCAGTATTCACAGCCACCCGATACCTGGTCCTGGATGTGCCACAGGCAGCTCTCACTGGCCGGGTCCAAAAGAGAAAGAACCCTTGGCTCCTCCACCCAGACGTCCTGTTTCCCCCTATTGGTGGGACGCAGAACCCCACACCCAACTCTCAAGCCCAACTCGGCCTCCTGTCTTCTCCCTACCCTGGCACCTCGCTGCCCCCGATCCTTCCAGCTTGACACCACTGGAACTCTAACCTCACGGTTTCCAGGCCTCTTGCTCCTGCTCCAACTTTTGACTCCTGAAATCTATCCCCCGCACAGCAGCATGAGTCTGGTATTGTTTTGTTGAAATAAGAATACGATCCTGCCATGGCTGTGCTGAGAACCAGCCATGGGTTTCCCATCACATCTCAAACAGAATTCAGATTTCCTCCTGGGGCTGCGGGCCCTCTGGACTCAGGCCCGGTCTACTCACTGCGAAGGCCTCCTCCAGGACCTGCTCCTCCTCCAGCTTTCTCTGCCCTCTTTGGACACCTGTGCCTGATCTTCTGCTCCCCCACCCTGCACCCCCCGCCCCGTCCAAACCTTCTGTTTTCTGCTGGCTGTTAGTGGGTGTCAGTCACTGAAAGAGAATTATGACTTTAGCCTCTCCCCGTCTGCGGAGCACCCACTCCATGGGCCTCAGCGGGGCTGTGGCAGGTGCCCCCAGTAGGTCTGGACTACTAGAGAAAGGACAGATATGAACTCTGCCTCTACCACACTTGCTGCTATGTCTATCTCTCCATCTTGCTTGCTGGTTTTTCTCTTATCTTTGTAGCTCATCTCTTGTCTCTGACTTATCTCTGCAGTCTGGGGTGGGTTTTAAAATTTGCTTTGTTTTTTTAATCTTTGCAAGGTCTGTCCTCTTATTTGAGTATCTTTTTTGGGGGGAGGGGTACCGGGGATCGGACTCTGGTCTTTGCGTTTGCATAGCAGGCGGCCAAACCACTGAGCTAAGTCCCCGGCCCCTGCTTTGAGTGTCATTTTGTCAGGGTCTGTCCTGTTCCTCTTCTCCCTTGCTGACCACCAACGACCCTGCCGCGTCTGTCCTTTCCCCACTTCGGGGGCTCTCCTGCCCTCCCATTGTGCCTTCTCCATCCCATCTACCCTTCCTCCTTGCCCGCGGGCCATCCCAGCTCCCCAGCTTCGCAGGGGTTCTTCCCCGACTCCACCTCCCTGATCCACTCCTCCCACTCCAGCCCCAGAGGCCTCCCCTCCTCCTCCAACCCCTGCTGCTACTCAAGGTTGTCCCTGGCCACCTGTGCCACGGCTGACCTCGCCCCTGGGCCTGAGCAGGGTGTCTCCCCCAGACTGGGAGCCCGGGAGGGCAGGGTGGGGCGGACAGGGAGCACATCCCTCTGCCATCCCAGTGACCCTCGGACACACCCTGCCTCGCCCTCCCTGAGCTATCAGCGCTGCTCCTAATCCCTCCCCTGGCTTCTGCTCAAGTAGTTCCTTCCCCCCAGAAAGCCTTCTTTGCCCCCTAGCAGAACCTGCTGGTCCTTTTGGCACCCACACTGGGCACCACATTCTCCAGGAAGTATCCCCCGTCCTGTGTTCCTGCTTACAGCTCCAGCTGCTCCGACTGAGCTGCCCTTTGGACGACGCTAAGCTCCCGGGCAGCAGGGTTGGGCCTGCGCACCTCGGGGCTCGCCGAGCCCGACCAGGCATCTGGCACAGCAACAGACATCAGCGGGTGAGTGCTTGAATTAATGAGTGGAACGAGGATCCCTAAGTCTCCGTGACTCCCTGCCCACCAGCCTCCTCAGCTGTGCTTCCTCCCGTGGGACGGTGGGTTCCCAGGGCCCGTGACAGGCGCTGGGTTCCTGTCTTCGCTCTGCGCACCGTGCTGTCCGCTCCTACGTCAAGCCATTCCCTAACCTACAGGTCGCCGCCCAACCCGGCCCTGCCTGTCTCCAGCCTCTTCCCCCACCCACTCCAACTCACTCTGGAAGCTCCCTCCTGCCCCCGAGCCTTGACGCACGCTGTTCTCTGCGGGGACACCTGGTCCCAGCCCCACCCCCTGCCCGCTGGGGTTACCCCTTCCCCACGGAGCCTTCAGCGGCATCTCCGATTTCTCCTGCACCCTAACTGACTTAGTGTGTATGTGCGTGACTCTGATTCATGTCTGGCTCATGCCCAAGATGTAAACTCTATGAGGACGTCAGGAATGCTACTTCCTCCCTCTGCTTGCCCAGCGTTCCACACGACCCCTGGCAGCGAAGCGCACAAAGGAGTGGCCGTGGTGAATGAATGAACCCGTCCGTGCCAGCGCCGCCTTAGTACCAGCACCTGACACAGCAGGTGCGAGTGAGCCCTTGTGGAGACGTGAAGACGTGAGCGCATGCGCGGACGCCCGGGATCCGCCTCCTGCCTCCCTGCCGGGAGCTGGGTCCCGATGTAGTGCGAGGAATAGTTGTAGGTGACTCTAGGTTCGGAGTGAAGGCCCCTCTCCAGGAGTTGGGCCGGGCTGGGCTGGAGTCCCTCCCTCCCCTCCTCCCGCCCCGCCCCCACATGCACACACCAAAACATTAAAAAAAAATCTCAAAACTGCAAAAAACACCATGGCCCTCCCCCCTCCCCCTGAATCCCACCAAAAAAATAAAACACGTCGCTCGCCAGGGCCCCTCCCCTTCTTCCTCCTCTCCCCGGGGTCCCTGCTTCGGAGGGGGAAGGAAGGACGGCCCCGCGCCCCGGGCCGGGGGCGCGCGAGGGGCGAAGGCCACGCAGTCTGCAGGGTGCGCGCGGGGAGGGGCGGGGCGCCCGGCCCGGCTGCCCCTTGGCACTCGCCGCGCACGCGCCCTGCACGCGCCCCGCACGCGCCCTACACGGGCGTGGTTTTCCTGTTGAGCGTGTTGGTGTTGGAGGCGGCGGCCTCTTTGGCCAGGGTCCCGGGCGCGGGCGCGGCAGGCGGCGCGGGCGGTGCGGGCGCGGGCGCGGC